GAAGAGGAGTGGACCAACATTCCACAGGCCACAATCAACAACCCGATCAACTCTATGCGAAGGAGATGTGTTGCACTGCGTCAGGCAAATGGTGGTCACACCAGATACTGACTGGTTTTCGGACCCCCCCCAGACCCCCCCATGTCACCCATTGAGCATGTTTGGGATGCTCTGGATTGGCGTATACAGCAAGAATTATATATTCGATTAAGAATAAGAGGATGCTTAGGTAAAGGGAGTCCATGGGAGCTTTGAACACAACTTAAAGCAACTTGAAATCTGGTGCTTTCTTTGTGGTATTGGTCTGTACACATACACAATCTCTAAATGATTTATAGCTTTTTTCTTGAGTAAAACAAATGTTTATGAACATTGCACTAAATGTTATGAACATTGCGCTAAATCAGCCTGCTAGTAACAAAGACAGGTATAGTTCTCTCAGTATCTCTTTCAGAGAGAATTGGTTGGACTGTAGCAAATACAATTTCTAAGCTGGTATAAATGTGGCATTCATTTTGTGTTGATTCAAAATTCTGATCTGCATCTATGCATGCTTAGACATTTTGTTTGGGGCTTGGCCACGGACTTTTGGTTATTCAACTCGTCTCTGTTTCTCTCTCATTTTTTTAACCTTTCTCTGAATTACAGCATATTATTTGCTTAATGTGCATTGAACCAGTTTATCGATAGGGTTGATGTCATTTGGTCTTAGGGAGGTGAACAGTTGTGTATTTTCAGCATAGCTATATCAATAATTGTGTTTCTGATATTTTCCAGTGCGACATATAGAAAGTGAACTGAACACAGGTGCCACTGCCTCAAAACCATAATCATAGCTTATGCTTTTCCTGATTTCCTTTTCCCCACACATTCATGCTGTGGCTGATCAACTATATTTATCTGTGCTGTCACCACCTTTATTCTTAATAATTAGCTCCCAATAGTGGTTCATGTTTAAATTCAAGCTTCTTAAATGTAGTTGGTGCTATAGCGTTGAAATATATATATGTATTATCAGCTTTTTATTGGAGCTCTTGTCTTAATTCTAAAGAGGAAGGAAAGATCACTCATAAGACTAAAGTCTTTGGAAAAATGAAGGGATTGAAAACATATTGCCGTTGTTTCACACCTTGTTTTTGCTGTGTGAAGAGTTTGACAATGTTATTTCATATTTGCAGAAAATGAAACATTCAAAAGTAAATTCAATTGTTATGTGTGGTTTCCTTTCAGGTGCTCAGTGCCGAGTCAGGACCGAGAAGGCAAAAGACCCTGAGGAGGAAGAAGAGGGAGTGGATCCTTCCTCCTGCCAAGCTCATGGAAAACACTGACTACCACACAAGAAATTCATTGCCAAGGTTTGATCCAAATATTATTTCCCACAATTTGCAGACACAGTCATTATAATTTGTCACTGGCAAAGTGCCCAGTTGGATGAGCTTCAATGTTCCAAAAAAAAATTAAAAAACTGGTTTTTGTCACGCCTTTGCCTGCAGTGAGCCAACCTGTTTCAACTGGTTTGAGTCCTCAGCTGTGCTGCTGGGTGATTTGGCCCTGGGCTGCAGTACAGGCTAAAGAGGTGACGTTTTAACAGAACGTTCCCAAGAAAATGCTGAGATAAGAAATAGGGAACATAGTGTACCAGTAACATCTGAGTGTATGTATTATTAGAGAAGCCACGCCTGCATTAGTAATTTATGAGTACAAATATGAGTGTACCCCAAGCAAACCTGTTATTAACGTTTATTTGTGCAGAGTGATACATATTTATTGCTATAAATTAGCGCTTGGCAACGATTACCATTTTTAATCGTGACTAATCGCATGATTTTCTTCAATTAATGCGCAAAATTCAATAATGAATTCAAAACCAGTGTATTGCGCACTTTTATTTTAAAAGCACTGCTACAGTATAACAAAAGTGCAATAACACTGTAAACAAATAATATGCTTTTTAACAGCAGTATTCCCTTTACACAGTAGCAGTTGAAATATTTCTTGTAAATCTCAACTTCAACATTAATTAATGTAATCAAATATAAATATAAAACCAAAGCTATGTGCCACTCATAGACTGGTGCCACTGCAAGGGCATTAACATTGTATCTAGTTAAAGAAAAACAAGTTACCCTCAGAGACCAGTGAGAAGAAAATTCAACTTTGCAGTGGTTACAAATAACTCTGGTTCTATCAACTCCGCTGTCTGGAAGAGATTTAAAATGTCCATGTTTCTGTCCTGCCACTTCTCTTCTGTTTCGGTTCATGTGAGCGCTGCAGCAGTCTTAGGCCCACCCCAAATGCTCTCATTGGTTGAGACGTGTAAAGACGCCCATCCTAAGCCAATACTGATCAACATCCCCCCTTCCTGTGACCCATGGTTTGTCTGTATGTGTATTCAGAGCCAGTGAGCAACATACTTTTAAAATAGTAATATTAATTAAAAAAATGTAATGATCAGCCCTAAGTAATTAATTTGTTAACTGTCAAAAACCAAAGTGGCTTAGGTTGAACGTCCTGCAACACTAATAGTGGACTGAACTTCAAGGTTTTGTTACAGTTTCAATCAACTCACTTTGTATTTTAGATTACATTACACTGGATATGGATGTTATCGTCCTGAATTAAATATTGCAAGATTCTTAATGGAACTCTGGTTTTAAAGCTTGGGTAGCCTTTGCAGACCATTTACATTCACAAAAACCTATACAACACACTACAGGAGAGGGAAACCTGAATAGCAAGTCCATGATTCCTCTGTCTGTGTTTTGTTGTCAGATTCACTCTGATAAAGACTTGGGAAAGCTGGTGGATTATTATCTCACTGGAGAAGGAGCTGACAAGGAACCCTTCAATCTCTTTGTAGTGGACCGAAATACAGGGTTTGTACGCATCACTGAATTACTGGACCGGGAGAAACGCCAATTCTACAATGTAAGTCTTTCTTTAAAGTTGTACTGTCCTGAAACCTGATGAAGACTGGGGGAGAATAAAGCTCACGTTCCTTCAGTCACAGAGCTTTACTGAATGCCACTAGCCTACCCTTGTGCATACAGTATATTGTTTTGAACTTTTGTTTCAGATCAGATCAAAAGAGGTTTATTGTCATTATACTTGATATACTATAGATGAGATTTGGTAGGCTTCTCTCTATGCATTTAAAAATAAAAACTAATAAATGTAAGTAGGGATTATAACAGTGATTAAAAACCGTTATAGCAGCAAAGAGAATACAAATAAAGAAGGCACTAGTAACGCCCAAATATTTCAGATGATTGTCAACGTTTTGTGCAAGCAGATTTGTAATATTAACGAAGCTTCAAATAAATGTAGTAATTAACCTGTATGTAAAGTTTAAACAAGGAGGTTACCTGGCATACATTCCCAGAGACCTTAAGAAACGCATTTGTGACAACCAAGCGTCATAGGGACGAAATATGCTTCCACATAAAAGTTTAGTTTAATAGGTATGTATATTAAGAGACCAGGCTTGGCACATGCACAAAACAGCAGCGATAAGAAAGTGCAGATGTGACAGCTGTGACATCCACAGTCAGGCAATTTACTTTTTTAAACTTTTTTAATTTTACAATTTAAGTCAATTTACTTTCTTCTAAACAAACCTGCTAAAACATGCTGCGAGAAGACACAGGATGCTCCGAAAAAAATCTAGTGAAGCAACATTGAATTGAGGTTTAGATGTCTGTATTCTATCTTCAAAGATCAATAGTAAAGTGTTTCTTCATGTAACTCATGCAGCTAACAGGGATCGCAAGGTTCAAAGACGGGAAGAAAGCAGAGGATGATGTCCCACTGACAGTCACGGTTCTGGACCAGAATGACAACACTCCTTATTTTGAGCTGCAAATGGGCAACATCACAGAGGAAAGCAAACCAGTAGTGTCACATTTTTGAACACATATCAGCTTGCTGCTGTAAGAGAATGATGGAAACAGTCAGAACTCAGAAATATGTTAAATCAGTAAAGCAACATTAAAAATAATAAAAGTCCTTTATTTAAAACGTATTTAAAATAATAAAGGATGACAAACTGCACTAAAAGTGTAGTACTTATTTTTCACAATAGCCCATACCTATAGTAACAAAACTCAACGGAAACGGGGAAACTAAAAAGTGATGCTGGGATCGAAAGCACTTGTTGATGATCGGGGATTATAAATTCTGCCGTAAATTGTATCGGCATATTTTAACATGTGATGTAATGGCATGATTCCTTCCGATAATATTGCAGATCTGCTGTAAACTAGCTAACGTAGCTAACCTAGCCATATATTATGAATATACTGACAAAGCACACAATTATGAAACAGGCTTACTCTGCCAACAGTGACAGTTGGACAACTTTATAATCCCCGAATGCCAACAAGCGCTCCGGTCCTAGCTGTGTGCATCACTTTTTAGGTTCCCCGTTTTCATTGTGTTTTGAGCGTCTTGCAGCATTTTTTTTTTCTTAAAGGTGGGGTAGGTAAATTTGAGAAACCGGCTCGAGATACACTTTTTGTTTATATTCCATGGAATGCTCTTAACATCCGATAGCAATGAATATTTTAAGTGCTTTGACAAAAAATCCATTAAAAAATATCATCTGTGGAAGCCGTAGTACTGTAAAAAGCACGACCAATCATCTGAGCCGGCCCGGCTTAAAATAACTGGATGGCCTACCTGCCTGTCAGCCTTCCATCTGTGCGCACAAATTTATCTCGTGCCCTCATTGGTCATGTGCGCGTTCATGTGTGTTGGAGGAGGGGCTCGGTAAGGAAGTGGCAGATTTTTTCCGGTTGTGTTTTTTCAAATTCTAGCGCACTAGAGCTGGTTTCTCCAAAATTACCTACCCCGCCTTTAAGCGTTTTTGTTTAAATGATATCATATTATAATATTTAATCTTTGATTAACTCAAAGTTAAACAAAGGCAAACACTGTATGTGAATACTAGCTGTGAACAGATTATCTGAAATGTTATGGTTTGTGATGTGCTGCAGGAAGCGTTGTTATGCAGATCAAGGGGAATGATAATGATGAAGCTGGAACAATTAACAGTGAGATCAGCTACAGGATCGTGAGTCAGGAGCCCGCAGGCACCGGTCACATGTTCACTCTGGACAGAAAGACGGGCCAACTGTACGTCAAAGAGGAAAACCTGGACAGAGAGGTGAGGCTTCTGGTCATTGTATATCAAACACATCTCACATATGTTGCAGAACCTTTCAAAAGAATAATACTTAATACAGAGTGGCTGCAAGGTGGTGCAGCCTTCTTTCAATTGGAAGGTTGTGGGTTTGATCCCAGCCCTTGCACTCAACATGTCAATGTATCCTTGTATCCTATCCCAAGATATTTTACCCAAGTTGCTCCCAACGGCAAGGCCAATGTTGTGTGAATGTGTGAATGTTTGCTTACTACTCTGTATGAAAGATGACTTGAAGAATTCAAAGCGCTTAGAGGGGTCGTGAATAAAGTGAAACATAAATACAGTACATTTACCATTTACCATAAAAGAGTTTGCAGCCTTAATCTCCTCAGGCAGGTTGTTCCAAAGCCAGGAGCCCTTACAGCTAAGGCTCTATATGCTTTGCGTTTCAATCTGTACCTTGGAACAACCAGCAACGACGCATCTCAGGATCTCAGGTTGTGGGAGTGGACATAGGGCAATAAGAGGTCTGATAAATACCTCCGGCAGCTATGCCTCTCAGGGCTTCTGAAAGGAAGCCAGGATTCGTGTGATGTGGTAATTTGTTCTAACCTGAGTAAATTCAAAAGCAGAGTTTTGATTAAGCTGAAAACGGGAGAAGGATTTTTAAAATGTATGCCAGGGAGGAGAGAGCAATCAAATGTACTGCTAATTTGGCTGGAACAACTGTTTCAAACTTTTATGGAGTAAGAAATAGTCTAGGTTGAGGTTTTGGTCGAATATCAAGACTTTTGCAGTGCTGAGTGATGGACTGGGACAGAGAACCTATGTGATGACTATTAATCTTTTAGCTGCAGGAAATCCACTTGCAGATGTCTAGAAGGCATTTTAGCAAGTAGACTGTGTTTTGATAGTTTCAGGGCCCCAGGGTTTTTACATAATTTGAATTAAGGCGGGATGAAAACTTTAGTTGGAACAAGATGTTCTTTGAAATTCAATCGAGGAACAATATACAGCAGCACTGTTTTGCCCTGAAGGTCTGACTCACCCTGCACAATATGATCACATGTCATCAGATAACAGAAGAATGTACCTGTTTTCCCTCCAACAGACTATTGACTTCTACAAACTGGTCGTAGAGGGGACTGATATGGGAGGGGGATCCAGTGGCCTAGTAGGGACAGGAACAGTGGAGGTCAAAGTCCTGGACATCAATGACAACATCCCCACCCTGGAAAAATCTGAGGTACACACACACACACACACACACACACACACACACACACACACACACACACACACACACAACACATACACATACACATACACACACACAGCAACCTATTCCATTACATCCTTACATTCTCAGGCACCTAGCTGCATTTTTTCAATGACCTTTTAAGGGTACATCCACAAACCAGGATACGGATGTAGTGTTGAACATGGTTAACGCTGTACACGTATACAAAAAAATTCAACAAAACGACTTCTGGATGTTTTGATTTATTTTGCTCAAAGTGTATTTACTCAAATACTGTACTTAAGTACAATTTGGAGATACTTGAGTATTTACATTGTATGCAACCTTGTACTTCTACTCCACTACTTTTATTTAATACCTTTAGTTACTTTGCAGATTGGATTAATGATTTGAAACATAATCAACTCTTAAATAAGACCTTGGAATGTGCCCAGAGTAAATCCACAAGCTACCATTCAGTATACAAAGTCATTCAAACTAGCTGCACCTTTACCAGCTTTGAGAACACTTGAATGCATCAATAATTATAATCAAAACATATTGAATATATTATTCTGAAATGGACCAATCTGCAGAATGACTACTTTTACTTTTGGTACTTTAAGTATATTTTGATGCCAATACTTTTGTACTTTTCCTTGAGTAACATTTTGATTACAGGACTTTTACTTGTAACAAAGTATTCCTACACTCTGGTAGTTCTACTTTTACTCAAGTACAATATCTATACTTCTTCCACCTCTGCTCAAAATAAGTATATATGTTCAGTTTTGGATGCAAGGTAAAAAGCAGACTTTAATGGACTTTGGTTGGAAAGCAATTGGTTGGAAAGTGAGGAATGCAAACCTGCAGTCTTTCTGCAAGAGGTGATGCTACTTGTTGCAAAAATAAGTTTGATTTAGGAGTCTATACAACAGTGAGCCTACTTGATGTATTACCTCCTTTAAAAAATAAGTCTAAAATGTGGGCTCTGTATTAGTAGAAAGAGAACATTAATAAAGCACGGGACAGAGGATATGGGTACTAGTTTCTTTACTGTTACTCATGCTTAACCACAACAGCATCAACTCCCGGGCATACACTTATTCTCTTAACATTGTGCGGCAGGAGTTTATATATCAGAACACACAACCAGCAAATGTTAGAGAGGCCCTGACTTTTATTTTGACTATATTGTTGGTCAGCTTGGGGGGGTGTCTCTCTTGACTGTTTACAGCAGCTGCACTGGATTTTGAAAACCACAAGCTCTGAAGGTGTGTGCTTTAAGCTTTTGGGCAATGACTATCAGTCATAGACACCAAATGTTTACGGAACAAAATGGTCTTAAGCTAACCACTTAATGTTTGTCTCAAAGTGCATCATATCTTTAAAATGAAAACTTTTCTTTAATTATTCCTGTCATTTTTAAAACTGCGACACAAAGCCTATTGCAGAAAAATGTATATAGCAAGTGAGGTGTGAGAGGCAGAGAATAAAGAGGGAGAGAGAACAAAGGGAAGAGGATATAGAGATGAATGAAAAGAGAGATGGTGTCTGTCGTGTGAGATGTTACCTTTACTTTAACGATTTAACTAAGCATTGACAACGTTTATTTTCAGACAATTTGGGATCATTGTATCCTTTTTTGCATGTCCAGATTGTGATTGATAATTATTGTTGATTTTTAAATTGATAATTTAACTGAGTTGAATCTGAAGACTTAGGGCGCATGGTGAAGCTCTTGGGTGCAATCCTTGTTGGTCCAAACAGTCCGGAAGCCATCAATGGAAAAAGTTATTATTAGTTTTAAATTCTAAATTATTAGTGCTGAGCAACAATGCAACTATTTAATCGCGTTTAATCGCATGATTACAAAAAGTAGTGTATTGCAAACTTTTATTTAAAAGTTACTGCATATATTAAAAGTGCAATAACATTTGGTCTGCAAACACTTCAAACAAATAAGGTACTTTTTAACAGTAGTATTCCTTTACACAGTAGCAGTTAAAACATTTCTTATAATCTAACTTCAACATTAATTAGTGTAAACAAATCAATTATAAAACCAAAGCTATTTGCCACTGCAAGTGGCATTAACATGTTATCTAGTTTGTTATGAAAGTTACCCTCAGTGATCATAAATCCTACTTTGCAGTGTTACAAATAATTCTGGTTCTATCAACTCCGCCGTCTGGAAGGATGTAAAATGTCCATGTAAAAGTTCAGTTACCTTTCTCCATGTTTCTGTCCCGCCAGCCCTAGTAAATATACACTGAATGTGTAATACGCACATTTCCTCAAGGCTCCATGGGCTTTTATTCTTTAACATCTACAAGCTAATGTAGCTTGTAGATGCTAATGTAGCTGTAGATGCTAATGTAGCTTGCAGATACTACAGTAGCTCTACACGCTATGTGACATTTTAACTGAAGAAGTAACATCAAGAAGGCTAGTATCCAGGGGTCAAGTCAAGGGGGGTTAAATTACTTTTCTATCTCAGCACTGAATCTTAACATCTGCCACATTATGAGAAGCAGCGTCAGTTTTTACGCAACAGATATCTGAACTTCATCCTCGGTGCTGTTTAATACAAAGTCTAGTCTAGTGCTGTCAAGTCCACTGCACTTAATTCAGTCCCCACAACCTCCTTTTTTTATGTGGATGAATGTATCTCTTTTCATTGTTAATTCGTGCTCCTCAAATGAAGACAAAAAAACAAAAGTATAAGCGATGTAAAACATAGCTACTGGCCTCTGCACTATGATGAGACCATGGAACATGTAGTCATATGTGGAGAGCGATCATGAACTGGCCTCTTTCCCCCCAAACCTATCGGTGGCCTTTTACTTCTGAAGAGTAGAATGCTTTGATAATAACTGGAAACATCAAAGCAAAAAAACACCAGTTTTGTAAACAGAATAGACACATAGCTGACAGTAAGACGTTGACACATATTGGTTGATCTAATGGTTTCGAATCATATTTCCTGTTTGCAGTACGATGGGGAAGATGGAGGAAAATGTTGCCGATGTGTTGTGGATGAGAAATCAAAGCTCTGGATAAAGACCTTCGACACTCAGACAACTGGCTGACTGTCTTCAAAATCACCAAAGGGAATGAAGATAACATGTTTTCAATTGAAGACGGACAAGGAAACCAATGAGGGCGTCTTGAAGCTGATTAAGGTATTTATGTGACTTTAACACCATTGTACTTTATTTATCACACTAACTGTAACAAGTGTTGAGTGGTGCCCTAACATTTGCTTGCTGCTTCGTATCTGTTCTTGTCCTTTCACTAAATTGCTTTTTACTCTACAATCCGGACCAACAGGCTGTGGATTATGAAGATGTCCAGAATCTTGAGCTTGGCCTGATCGTTACGAATGTAGCTCCTTTTGTGAAGGGTGGTCCTATATCAATGGATGTGGACGTCCAGATTGGAGAGGGTAATCCTATGGCTACTGGAGCGGGTGCTGGAGGTGGAGGTGGAGGCGGCGGTGGCGGAGGCGGAGCTGGAGGCGGCGGTGGCGGAGGCGGAGCTGGAGGCGAGCTGGAGGCGGAGCTGGAGGCGGAGCTGGAGGCGGAGCTGGTCCTGGAGGTGGACCAGGACCAGGACCAGGACCAGGACCAGGACCTGGACCTGGACTTAAGCCAGATGTTGGGGTTGGACTGGGTGGCGGGTATTAAGCCAGGTGTCAAACCAGGAACTAAGCCAAATGCACCGGCAAAGAGCTATCCCATTAAGATAGCAGTGAAAAACATTCCAGAGGATCCAGCATTCATTCCAACCATCAAGAATGTTCCTGTATCAGAAGATCCAAATGAAGCACCTAAAGAGGGAGTGATCACAGTTTTGCTGCTGTCGATCCAGACACAGGGCTACCAGCTGGAAGATGTCAAGTAAGTCATCCTGCAGGAAACATTACTTTTACCACTCATTTACCATGTTCACCATCTTAGTTTAGCAATTTAGCATGCTAAAATGTGAGAATTAGCAGTATCCCAAAGTACAGATAGAGTTGATGGGGAATTTGATTTGTTTTACAGTTATTTGCTTTAAATCACCCAATTAACATTTTGACTTGGTGATGATGACCCAATAGTTTTCAAACCATACCACTCAAAACGAAGTCTATCAAACTAATGGTGGCGTTATATGATAAGTAAGGGGATGACCACATTAATGCTTAGTTCGGAACAAAGACTTGTATAAAAACGTGTTAAAATTAGCAGCAGCTTGCAATTCTTATGTTCTGCAGATTTCTGAAACATTAAACACGTGACAAGACAAGAAACTTCAGTTTTTCTGTAGCTGGATATAATTTATTCCATCAAGACAAATTGTTGAAGTGAATATCCTTTTCCTCTGCCATTTCTACCGTCTCATGAGGTTCTATTTGACTTGACCAGTTGACTTCCCTTTGTCCTTAGTTTAGCTAGTTGTCTCCTCGCTTTAGCTTCATACTTACACACATAATTCTCATCAATAAAGTGATTACGTGTTTTTCCCCAAATGTTGAAAGTATTACTTTAACCAAATTCTTCTTCTCCTTCTTTGGTTTACTGTATATTACTTATATTAATATTTTTGTTTATTTTCCTACTTATTTTTTCCTAGTTATGCCAAAGCCTTAGATCCAGAAAACTGGTTTACCATCGATGAAAAAACAGCTGAGATAAACTACAACAGAGGTACCAGACAGAGAGTCACCTTTGTGGGGTGAATGGTACCTACATTGCCAAGATCTGGCGATCACAGATGGTAATCCACTATTTACTACTCTACTTATATTAGAATATGCTGTTATGCACTCCAGTCTTTGTACTGTTGGATTTACTAAACTGTTGTCATCCTCAGACATGCCACCAAAGACCGCCACAGGAACAATAGCCATTCAAGTCCTGACTCCAACGACCACTGTCCCACTCTGACCACCACCCACAGCACCCAATGCACTGATGAACAACTGTCTATGTTACTGCATTTGATGAGGATGCTAATCCAACGGAGCTCCATTCACATTCAGAGTCATACCTGATGGGACACGAGGCAGCTGGGACGTAGAAGTCATCAATAGTAAGAAAAAGTGGTTGGAGGCAGAAGAAAAAAACTGATAAATGATTTTTTCTTTCTTTTAGCATTATTTGTGATTTTTGTGGGTTATATTCTTTTTTAGTATCACTAAACTGTAATATTACTTAGGTTACAAGCAAAAGTAATAAGGATTATACTGCGTTATTTGACAGTTGCTTTTTCCTTTGTTGTCAACAGAGACGAGTGCCGCGCTTCACTCTCATGATCCGCTCTGGCCTGGCTTATATGAGGTTCAGGTGGAGGTGTTGGATGCACAAGTGTCTGTCTTGCCCATCCAATGACATTTTTACCGTGGACGTTGTACCTGTGTGGAGACAAAAGACTGGCAAGATAAAGGCAGCCAAAATTAGAAACTACTTCAACTGAGCTCTCTGCCCCAGCTATCAGCCTCCTGCTATCGGCAATGTGCTTATTGCTGTGTAAGTTGATCTTTAACAAATGCCTACAGTACACCTTATTAGGGATTGTTACGGATGGGTCGATGTTACGTTCCTCCAAATCTAGGGGTACGAAGGGGAGTAACAAAACATAGAAATGACCAGGCACGAGAAAAAAGAGAGGAAACTTATCTCTGAAGCCACAAGCAGGTCTTTTAATGGACAAAAAGAACACAGGCTCACCAGCCAATTTGCGAAGTAAACTAATGTACCAATGTATACAGGAACACAACTCCTAATAATTGATAAAACACAGGCCTCACACAGACACAGACACAGACACACGACACAGAGACAGAGACAGAGACAGAGACAGAGACAGAGACATGCTGCACACATGCAGCCAGAGGAGAAGGAGAGAGGCCACTGCAGCCTTCCTCAGGTCCTTTTATGGAGGCCCTGATTGGGGATTGGGAGCACCTGGGGGAGAGGCTGCACCTGGAGACAATCAGGGGGAGAGAGAGACACACACACAAAAGCACACACACAAGCACCAACTGCGGCATGTAAACAGTCAATAACACTATTTTCATGTCTGATACCTGTACCATCAGTGCCTTCTTAATCAAAAAACAATCCAATATTTATATATAAGGGGGCATAAATTCATCAGTGGTGGTGTGATGTATTGGACTGAATAACATAATTTATAAGTGCCCCAAATAAGTACGGCTTAAAAAAAATGATATAGAGTTACTCCCCATTCACAACTCTCTGTTTTTAGATGTATTCTTAACACTCTTATATGAATGATATTGCTAATACTAAATACTCTGTGTCTCTTGAAATATTAAGATCTTGAAATAATTGTAAAAAAAAAAACTGAACTTGGCTTGACATTGAACTGAATGTTGTGCTTCTCTCTGCAGTTATTCCTCTTCTACATGCTGTTCTGTCAGTGTGGAGCAGAACTTTTTCCTGACAGTTTCGTGACATGCCATGGGAGACCAAAGAACAACTCATATCTTACCACACTGAAGGCAGAGGCGAGGATAAGGTTGGCTTGCAATGTTGTTTGTTTTTATTGGGAAGAAAAGTATACATTAACTTCTTATTTTTAGTTTATCAATACGAGTATCAGACAATATCCTAATATTATTGAAAATGATCGTCTATAGAGATCAAGAGGCAATGTTGGTGAAAGAAAGCAGTGTAGTGGGTCAATGGGATATAAGATCAGTACTCCTGTTATCACAGGGACAAACAGGAAGGTTTAAACCCTGTCTAATTATTGCTAAACCTATATGCTTTTCTGAGATTAACATTGTCATTCTCCTGTTCTTTTGTTTAGGAAGAGTGCCACTCCATAGTATATCTCGTATCTTTGGGTCCCCAAAAAGACATTTGGGACAGCACAAGGATCAAATTCCAAAGGCACTATTACAAATACTATAGAAAATAACCAGACAACTACAATCCATGAGGGATTTTTGGAAAGGTTCGGGACACCAGGCAAAGTTGGATGGAGGGTCGACAACAACGCTCACAGATTAACAAGGGATTTGGCTATGGTTTATGGCAGTGCAACAATCAGCAGAAACAACTACAACACCCACAGCTCACACAACAGCTCTCTATGAGAGATAGCCTTACCTGACGCTTTCCTGAATGATTACTACTCACAGGTATGTTGTTAGCCTTGCATTCTGCTGTTTTTTTTCTTTTACAAGATTTCACCTTTAAAGAAATGTTCCGAAATGATTGACACCAGTGTCTGTGCTATTCCTTTACCTTAAACAGAAAGCGATGTGTGCTTTGCCTGCGAAGGACTGTTCTTTGGAGTATCATTTTGAGGGCCAGGGATCCTCTGCTGGATCTGTGGGCTGCTGCAGCCTCCTGGAAAATAACAACGACCTGCAATTCCTCGATGACCTTGGGCCAAAGTTCAAGACTCTGTCTGATATCTGCTCCCCTCCTAAACCAACACCCAAACCTTCCCTGACACACAAAATAGTAGGTGCTGTCCAAACCACAGTAAATAAGGTTGAACCTGTTATTATGCCCAAAGTTGAGCGAAGCGTTGAAACAGAGCATACTGATGTCAAGAAAGAGACAGTCATGTCATCTACTAACATCTCCAAATCATCCGTCAATACTGTAAGCACTGCCCATCAATCCATGACACTTCCTAACTCTAAGGTTACTAACATAGTCATTCCACCACTCTGCCCCCTCAAGCTCATTATTCTGCCACTCTGTCCCTCAAGCTCGTACAGTGTTTTCATACAGCCACAGCCAGTTAATTACGCCACCAACCCTGTACTACAGCCCATGCACTATGTAGTTCAACCACAGCTACAGAACACGGGTTATGCTAACAGACGGGTCACATGGAGCTAATTTGCCAGGCTTGTATTAGTCAGTGGGCCCCAGGCTTTCCTCCTTGGGCTAGTGATTCAGGCATGGAGGGCCCAAAAAGCCCTGCCAGTCAGTTAGCTCCACCTTCTTTTTACCTGGTAGTCCAGGTGTGTCTCCGGGCTCAGGCCCTGCAAAGGGTTGAAAATGATCGGGCCAAATCCCGATGGTAAATTACATGTTAGTTGTAAAGATATAGAGAC